GCCGTAGGTTCCTCAGCTGTTGCTGGAGTACTTTCTTGTACGTCGGACATGTTTTAGCGCTTGCCAGGTGATTACACTCAAAGTCTGTGTCTTTTTCGGAATTAGAAGTTGCACAGTTTGTGCACGTCAGTGTTTCCTGACAGTTCTTTGTTGAGGATTCGTGAGATTTTCCACACTGTACGCAAAAGTGCGGGCCCTTACAGTGGCAACTCTCGTGTCCAAAACCTTGGCTGTTGTAACACCGTGTAACCTTGACGTACCGTCTAAACTGGCAGAAGGTAAATCCAAGGTAAACACGACTCTCTTTGCCTAGCTTGTTGAAATAGTCTTTGTCCAGTTGAATCACCCAATTATTCCAACTATCGGAGCGATGTTGCGAGGTACTTGGATGGATCATCCCTGGTCTATCTGGTGGCACGTAGGACTCAAAGGCTGAAAAAAGTCTTCAGCCATGAACTCTGGCGGGACACCAAAAGCTATTAATGGCTCCCTTAAAGGTTTTGGCTCTCTGACCTGATACGTTCCTTGAGGTTTCTGAACCTTTTATGAATCCTGATTTTGATAATGTTCTGGTTTCACAACGTATTAAAGTCCTTACCGAGTGGCGATCGTTAAAGGAACTCCAAGCTTAGCTGGATTAAGGCGAGAGGCCAAGTGCTGTGGAATCTGCCTGGGAAAACTATCTGTATCTTTGGAGGCAAATATCAGGACGTGGTCAGAAGGTATCTGACGTGGCTTAGCTCTAATCCTCCTTCTTTGAACTAGAGGAAAAGGTGGTTCTCGCTCGTCAGAGGGTGAGACTGAATGAGACCCTAGTTCAGATACTAAATCTTTTCCTAAAACTGGTACGCAAGGAGAAGCCTCTTTTATAAGCGATTCAACTTGTGCTTCTAAGTAAGTAATTTGCCCCTGCTGATAAGCAAATTTGAGAGCTTGTTCGGCTATTATATTATAGGCGAATACAATTAGGTCGGCTATATTTTTCTGGTCGACATTGCTTAATTTGTGTTTGGAAGAAACTGAAGAATAGAAGAGCTACACTTAGTAAATGAGTTCAGAGGGAAATGATGCTGGGGGTTGAGGATTGTTTGAAGGTGATGGTGAGGCAATACACGGTACATTTACTGAAGCCATTAATTACATAAATTCAGTACTTAAGATATGGTGCAGTTGCATAAAATTCAGTGAAGTTTAAATAGTATTTAATACTCAAAACAATTGACCGTTAGTCCTAGGACGAGGAGTAAGCTGCAAAATTAACATTTTAAACATAGAGAATGGTAGAAATCAATTAGTATGGGTGGATATGTACTATCTAGCACAGTAGGAAATACGTTTTCGTACAACGCTATTATTTAGATATCAAGTATATTAGAAAATACACGAGAAAACCGTAAATTACAATAGTATTAAAATATAACAAATAATAATTATACACCCGAATAAATAATATGAGAAAGTGCTGTTTATAATGACTCATATAATTAAGAACTCATTTGAACAATTAGATGACTGTAAAATAAGAAAAGTGAATGTAGTTACATACAGTTCAGTACATTCACGTAAGATTAATACTTGAAACAATTAAACTTTATGTGAACAAAATACAGCAGAAATTAAAAGTTCAAACCAAAATTGATAGAAAACGATTAACCTGAAGTAGGAAGGTACTATATGTTACCGCATGAAATGCCTAAACATTCGCCGCTATTATTTTGGTTAAATCAAGGAAGTAAATAAATAAAGTAGATGTACGAATATTGAATAAAAATAAACAGAACTAGAGTAAAACTGTTGATTATACACCAGAAATAATATTAAGAAAAAGTTCTATTGATATTAACTCACGCAAGAAGCACTTTCAAACAGCACTAATAAATTAGGTATCAAACCTCACATGTATGAGGAACAATGACCAGTTAGGTGACTGAATAATAATAATGAGTACAATTACATGCAATTCAGCATAATTACTTAATATTAGTACTGAAAGCAATTTCTCCTTGTATGAAAAATTTACTATAGGATCTTGAATTCAATCCAATATTGAAAATAATTAATTAACCGAGATGGGAAGCTACTGTCTAATACCGAATAAGATCCCTAAACATACACTGCTATTAATTAGAATATAAATAAAGTAGTAAAGATATACGAGCAACAGGTAAAGCCAGAGTACAACAATTAATTATACACCAGAAATAATATTATAAAGGAGTACTAATGAAATTATCTCTTCAGAATAAGCGTATTTGCATAATGCTAATTAAAAGGCATTTACTTAGCGAGTATAAGATAAGCATAAGAAAATAATTACATTAATTTACTATAGGATGATCTATACAGTAGTATACCAAGTCAGTCCTACCTTTGTTGCTAATTTTCGTCTATTCTTCTGTAAATTATGTAAACCAAGATATATGCACTTTTAAGTGTTATTAACCAAATGCGCTAAGCACTTAATAAAGTACGGATGTAACACACTTGTACACAGAATTTGAAGTACTAGTCCGATATCTATGAAGTTTACACTTTTAGAATTGTCTGGAAGTGCTGAATCCCATATGTAAATCCCCGTGGTTCTAAGTCAATTGGTTGTTGATTAATCACCTTGTAAATGAAGCTGCAGTTGTTAATTTTCCTTCTAAAACCGCAAATTCTCTATGGTGAAATTCTTCTCCCTAGGGGGGGAGGGTAACTCGTAGCCGAATACTTATCTTCGTAGCTGACGCCAGTCCCCTACTGTACTCCCTGAAGCTTCTACATCCGGTAGGGAGACCGCACCTGCTACTGCCCGATTGCGCGTTCGACCGATCGGACCTCGTGCAAAATTAATTAAACTGTTATTACTTTATGGTATAATTGCTTCAAGAATGATATTAAAATAATCCGTGGATGTTTTCACGTCCGATGATGTAAATCCTGTGCCACTCGGAGCAGGAGATCCGCAAGTATGCACTTTCCTTCGTGTCGCTATTGTATACACAATGCAGTCGCACTCGTAATTGAAAAAAAAGATCAATTAGACTGGAACTAATTAAGCAATGCGTTCACAACTTACATTAATATACTCGTCTTAGCATTCACTGTCGATTGACACTGCATCCAAGCTGGTAGAAACAGGAGTTACGCATAAAGTAAGCGAAAACACAGAGCACATGAAAATGCGATCTTCACCTTTGACTGCTCACACTCCTCTTCCCACAACGAACTACTGAAAGATGTCCAAGCATTTCTATGCAGTACATGCATGTCATTACTCGTGACTATCTGGGCACGCACAAGCTGGCTGTGCATTGGGTTCTCCGAAACTTGACAGTCGACCAGAAATGCAAGCTAGTAGTTCTCTTTGTTAGAAATCTGCAATGCGTGCCTGCAGACTATGAAGATTTTCTGAGCAGGCTTGTGATTTGGGATTAAATATCATGTCATCATTTCGACACAGAGACAAAGCAGTAGTCTGGACAGCTGAAACATTCTTCATTGACCTGTTGCCCAAAGGAAAACCATGAATGCAGAATACTACTCAAACTTGCTGCAGCGTCTGAAACAGCAGATTCAGTTGAGGCTTTCTGAGAAGCTGGAACATGGAATACCCTTCCTTCATAACAACGCGCCATGCCACCCTGCTGGCTAGAAATTCCAGCAACTGTATTACATATGGCTTTGAATTTCTTCGAACTTTCTCTATTCACCCGACTTAGCACCTTCAGATCATGTGTTTCTTTCCATAAAGACACGCCCCGTAGGCAAACATTTACGCGCGGACGAGGCTGTTACAAATGCTATAAATGACTGATTGATTACACGGACCGAAAGAAATTTTAGGTTAGAGAAACCGGAGTGTCGCTGGGAAAAACGCATTCAACTAGAAGTTTACTATGCAGAACACAGTGAGAAAATATAAGTTAACTCGTTACCGCATCTTTTTCTCTGTCAGCCCAAAGGCTTTCCAGCAAAACAACATATTCCCTCCAACATATGTAATCTACGTATACAATCTGTATATGACACGTGTATATGAAAATCGAAACCAGAAACGCATGTGTAACCTGCGTATATATGACCGTTACGGAATCTTGAAATCAAAGACGCTAGATGAATAATAGATGATAAATAGATCAGCTATATCTCCTAATTTGAATCACAGAGAAACAAACGAGGTGCCGTAGGAGGAACTGTGCATTGTGGAATTCTCTTTCTAGAATTTTCAGTGTCCTGAAAATTATCCTGGCGGAGAACAGAAATTTTGGTTCTCCAGCTTTAATTAATTCCTCACTGACAGCACGAAATACTTTCATAACTATATGGGGAAATTTACGTGAGATCACATTCCGTAAATCCATAATTCATCAGAAATCTGCACTTTACATTTAACTGTATGATATTTATTATCAGATATTATTTTAAGTTATTTTTTTTTTCAGATTAAAGTTCCGTACCGCATGCATCTGATTTTGAAGCTTTAGTTTATTCCTTAAATGTATTAATTTCTATCTAAAATTCCTTCCGTGTAATTTAGTTGTATTCGAGAAATCAGCCTGTTTGTATACGTAAAGATATTTTGAGCAAGAGTGTAATAACGCCTGTGTAAAAAAATGGTTATAGGGAGGACAAATTTAAACTATCTCTCAGAAACCATCATAATGTGCCTAATTCTACATTTGAATGATGTTAGTTTACATTATCTGACCTACAGCTGATTTAGCAGATTTAAAATTTCAGAGAATAAATTCAAAGAAACTGTGAACAGCCAAAATTAGTTACGACAAAAAGTGCCTCAACTTAGAATCTACAATTTTCTAAAATAGCTCACACTTTCTAGCCTGAATAACTTTATGAGTTTAAGATTTACTTGTAAATTTCTAGAACTATGTGTAAAAAATTAATTAGTAAACATGGATTACATATTATAAAATTTAACAGAATGTCGAAATATATAAAATTTAGAGAGAAATTAATGAATAAATATGTATGACACTTTCCCCTTTCTTTTCCAGTGCCTTCGTAGTGTAACTGGATCGCAAGTCCGATTAGCAGTCAGGAGGTCAGGTGTTCATATCCCGACTACGTCACTACAAAGGTTTCATGTCTCCTGCACCTACAAACCTAATGACACTGCAAGTGGAGGCTCCGGAACTAAAAGGTGGTGGATTCACCACCACCAGGATTTGGCGATTAGGTCCCCTCATACCCAGTTGCCCTTTAATGGGGGAATTATATAAAATTCTCTCCCTCGTTTTCTAGTGCCTTCGTGGTGTAACTAGATAGCACATCCGGTTAGCACTCGGGACGTCTGGTATTCGAATCTTGGCTAAGGCACTAAAGATGTTTCATGTTCCTGCATCGATATTGCATAATGACTTAACAAATAAAAGGGAGCAAATAGAAAGTGAATGCATATTAAATACATAAATAAAATGCATAGGTAATAAGTGAATAAATATAAGGTCCCCCTACAAAAGCATCGGATTTAATATGCCCAAGAATATTTTATCTGTAGAAAATGACAAAATGCATTCTTACAACGGGTAAATGGTCCGATTTGAAATGTCGAGTTTTTACACTGATGTTTTATCATTGCAAAATCATTTCGCACTTCAGTCGACATAGATCGCCACATAAGAGAACAACCAGTTTTTATTGCTAAAAATTCAATACAATAATGGCGAGTGTTATGCACAAACTGTTAAGAAGCTCAGTGTAATCTTTGGACATAAAAATGCACTTAATGGAACAGCATTTCGCACACTGATAAAGAAATTTCAGGAGACAGGTTCGACAGCAGACTTTCAGTTACCACCTCTTGATCTAGCCATCTCTTGAAAACATCGCTATTGTGCTTCGTAGTGTTACTGAAATTCTCAAAACTCTGAACTTAAAGAGAAGCAAACAAAAGAACTTGAAGAGGAAATTGAAAAGTGTTATTAACCGCATCGATAAGTAGATATATGAAAAGTGATTACGCAATTGATCGGGATATTGAGCTGCTGCAGAGCGAATCGTGGAGGACATATGCCAGGCGTTGTGTTTCATTCTTAAGCAAGAACATTTACTAGTTGTAGTAAGTATGTAAACATATTTTCGATTTTCTAAAAATAAAATATTTTCATAGGTATACTAAATGTTGTTAGGTCACTCTTTGTGTGTTAGGACTTACCAGATAAATGTGAAAAATGAGAGAGCACGTTTATGTTTTAAGTGTTTTCTTATTTCAAATTATCTAAGGGGGAAAGTTTTCTTTTGAGTCGAAAATAAAATATCTCATTTGTGTTTTCATTTTCTACTGAGTGTTTCATCTTCGTTTAGCTGAAAGTAAAAGAACAATAAATTGTACTAAATTTTGACTTTTGTAAAATAAAAATAGCAATCTAAATAAAACAGCTTTTTAATGAAACTGTAAATAACATGTATATAATGAAATCCGCTTAAAATTTTCGGCCCTTATCTTGACAAAAGGGTATGAGTCTTTGAAAATCGAAACCAGAATAATCGTCTATTGTTAGAAGAGAAGCCCTAAGTGATAAATAAATAAATAAAACAAGAAGTATTATTCCTTGAATTGTTTTGGACTTCATCATCCAACATATTGCGAGAATAAAGAAAAAGTAAGTGTCGGAGAGACACTTCCATACCTAAGACATTTTCATTTAGCTTCTCAGTGATAATGTGATTATTTACACTATTTCACTTCCTTTCATAAAGAAAAATTTTGATGTTTAAGAAGTTAGAACATGTTAAGTGTGGAAAATACATTTGTTTAAAAGATGTGCGTGGGGAAGGACTCTTATTTTTTGCTAAGAAATGACATTTTAATTTTTAACTATCCTATTGTTTGGGTATTTGGGTATCTTTTAAGACCTCCAAATATAAAAGCATTGTCATATGTATGGATTGTTTTACAGCCAAAATGGTATTTCTACCAACTGTATCCAATATCGTATGACATATCTTGATTGCTTTAATACGCAGCTGTGACAAATTTTCTAAATAAAGGTTTTAATGATTAGGCAAGTAAGAGGAATATTCGATTACTGAGCAGACTAATATAGGGATATAAAAATCGAAAGCATTTTCAGTTTGAATCATTGGTAAAAAAATGCATTTTTTTTCACTTTTTTGTGCAAAATGTTTCATTAATCTTACTAGATTAGATTATCACTTTTTAATAGGTTTCAAGGCCTGTTTCTAAGTATGATTTTTGTCTAAGATTTGACACTTGTACTATTTATTATTGGATAAGAATGCTAAATTATTTAAGCCATTCATTCACTCCCTAGGCCCACCAGCGGCCGACCGGTAAAGTCGCTAAACACTGGTAGTTCCGCCTGGAGCTCGAATCCCGGCAAAAGAGCAGGCTGCATGGGCGTTTTTGGGGTTTTACCCATGTGTAAAATGTTTACAAGCCAGTTTCCCTCAGAAGGTCCTCCACGAAAGCAACCCTCCCTTTAGGCTGATAGCCCTCGAGCGCTTTGCTGTAATCAAATAAACTAACCAAATCATTCACTCCTTAAACTCTGTTCACCAATAAATTCAGATGTGACCTAATATCAAATACTAACAAAAAACTTGCCTTTGATGGGATTTTTTTTCCCGGTATTAAAGTGAAAGTATCCGTCTAATAACTATGTTTTCCCACAAAGGCTGGACAAGGGTGAGAAAATGAGACAGTTGCCTCAGGTGAAAAGCAGAAGAGACGCCAATGAGCTGTGAAAAGTTCGAAATTGATTTTAGAAAAGAAATTTCGAATGTTAACGTCAAGTTTTGAAACATAAAAAGAACGATGGGCGTAATAAATGGAACAATGGACTGTTACATGTTATTTAAAGTAACAAAATTTTGTTAATAGATATTTTTAATGATACAAAAATATCATATTCCTGGTACATTTCTCATTCTCAGTGACACATGGCCAATTTTTGATTACCATTAACCATCTTTTGTAGCATTTTGGGAAAGATGATGCTCTCAATTTATGTTTCACACACGGTACTGTCAATGTAATTTGGATCAAAATTATTTAAACATGAGTAAAGCGATTTACTTTATCACCTTACTGCAATAAGTTTTCTTTACGTACACATATTTTTTATCGCTTGGATTGCATTTAATTTCTTGAAAAAGATTAATAAGAACTTTGTGTTAAACAATTCAGCTGAACTATGGGAAAAAAAATGACATCAATTCTTCTTGGAAGTGTTGCGCTGTGATTGGTTTTTACATTAAAAATTATTCTTCGAATTAACATACTGAAATTGATTTTCGTTTGTTGTAATGAGCTACTAAGACTGAATCTGCTTAGTATTAAACTGCCAACAACAGCAACTCTCCTCTGTCTCGGTTTAATCGAAATTGCAGCTCTTAGCGTTTTTATATCCTCATAACAAACTTTCCACAGTCTACGAAGTGAACGTGTATGACGTAGAAATTCCATAAAATTTGTTTCAGCAGACCTAACACGTATTTTCCCCATAATATTTGGCTTCAAACTGGAAGAGAAACATACTAATTTCAAAGTTAGAAAAAAAAAAAAAAAAACTTCGTTCGACGAAGGTTTTGAATAAAATTGTCTCAGGTCCCTCTTCTTCGGGGCAAAATAGTTCTGCTCTTAAGAAAGAGATATATGTGTGGGAAAAATAATGTTTAGCTTTTATCCACATCTTATTTTTCTCAGGTTTATGCAGTCGACTTCATTTACTGTTATTCCTGAAATAGCTACAATTATTGATAAATCTATTAAGCGAATAGACATTTCAGTTTCCTTTTCTGTTAAGACTGATATGCAAATTGATCAGATAAGACTTTTCTGCTTTACTTCTATTATTTATAATGAAGCAATAAAATGAAATTTAGTATCATAGAATAAAAAAGAAATCTAAAAATTTGGAATTTTTGTTTTGGAAAAATTATGACAAACGTTACGGCTAATACTCAGGCAACTGGCATTAGATTATCAAAACACAGCTATTTACCAGTATTAATAATAAGGCGAAAAATATTCCTAACACCGTAATAAATGTAGGCAATGGACATTTTTTTATTAATGCCCCTCAGTGCCAAGGGGCAAAGTCGCTGAACGTAAGTATTTCGGTCTTGGATTCGAATCCCAGCCAACGGACTGTCTGCATGAGTATTTTCGTGCTTTCTCCATTTATAACGTGTATACGAGCAAGTTTTCTTTAGAAGTCAGTTTTCCCCAGAAAGCCATCTAAGAAGGCACCCTCCTTTAGGCAGATAGTCTTCGTGTGCTTTGCCATAATCAAATAAACCAAACCATTGTTCAATTAAAGTAACGATTATATATAAAAAAAGTGTTACTAATATTTTAAAAAACAGAAACTATGCTACCAGTCAGAAGGTTCTTAAGAAAGAATTGTAATCATGTAGAATCATTAGGTTATTTTTAAAGCTGGAGTGATAAAAAATGAGCAACGCTTTCGCCGGGAATCGAACCGCGGACCTCTGGAATACGCCACCACACCACGAAGACATGGCAAGAAGGCGGGAGAAATACCTTATAATCAAAGACATTTTGTCCAGGCTGGTCGAAGACTGGTAATTCGATACCTGCTGTTTTTTCTGCGAACAGGACAGCTACATGTGTTCTTTCGTGCTTTTGCCCATATACAATGCGAAATACGTCAAATTTCCTGCAGAAAGGTCTCCACGAAGACCTTCACCTTCTGTAGATTGCGCTGGTTTACCTTTTTGTGCTTGTCATTTAACCAAACTGAGATTAAAACTTATTTAGTTTTTAACTGTTTGAATTTATTTGATATTCAGTGTGAGACAGAAGAATTAATATCTCTTATTTTATATAATTTTTAACCAGCCATTTTTACTTGACAGTTATACTAATGCATTTTGTATCATACTATGAATCATTACAATCGAATTCAAATAACTGAATCGTGAAGCAAATCAACTTAAAAATGTAATGTACTATGTTACCTATATTAAATATAGTAAACGAATAAAAAATGCAAATAAAGTCTTGTTATAAAAAACTATTAACTGGGCATAAAGCTGAACACTTAGTAGAATGTTTAAGCTGTGTTCAAATTAGGGTGAAAGGGCCGATTTCATGGGCGTTCACAGGAGTTCCGCATGTGTAAAATAAAATGAGCCAATTTTGTTCAAAAAGTCTTTTAGGAAAGCACCTCTTTCCTTACGCACAATTCTTCATATGTTTTGGGCTATTGAGTTAAACAAACATAATGGAATGGTTATAACATTTTTACAGCAGATAGAAAAAAAATTTAAAAATATTCTTGAGAAATAGGAAAATTTAGCATCAAATAAGAATACATCAACGTAAATTTAAGAGAAACAAAAAGGGAAATTTAATAACTCAGACTGCTAAGAATCAGTTATAAATGAAATAAAGAAATGAAAAGAATGCCGTTTTGCTGTCAACAAATGAACTGGTGACATGAGAAATAAAATAAGATATCTTCCAACTTCTTAAACATACTGCAAATCCTTTATCAAAAACATTTAGCTTTAAAAACCACCTTATTTTTCAACAAAAATCAACTAAAAATTTAAATCTTTTAAAGATAATTCAAGAGTATAGCTTAGAATAATCGATTCAAAATTTTAAAGCTACATTATCGATATTTAAGCGCTGCTAATTACTCTTGCTCTGATACGAGATTCTTCGATTATCTGAAAATAATGAAAACTTACGTAATATCCTCCTTTTGTCAAGAAAAGTTTTCAAACATTTCTCTCTCTTAAAGACGAATTATATAATCAAATCAAATTTGAAAAAAAAAACGCATTAAAGATTTTCTTTATTAAAAACAAAGAAATTAAATAATATAAATATGCTTGAAATTAATGCAGTACTTTTTACATTAATTTATAATATTACTTATGCTATTTTGCTACTGTAAATCGTAAAGCTATACGTTTAAAGTTAGTCATTTAGAACTACATATCATTATTTGCATCATTTTTCTAAATGCATAATGACATGATTTACAATATTATAAGAGATGGAGGTTATGATTTCAAATAGTTACCTTTGATGAAAATAAGGGTGTAGAAGTATTGTGAATTTAACATTGCATACGAGAGCACATTTAATCGCTGTTTCAGGAGTTCTAGGTACAATTCTAGGTGTGAAATATCTGGGTACGATTCTACTAAGGTAAATTGGTAAATTCAATATCAAGAGCAAGCGACTCTGCTAGAGTCAGTGTCAAGGAGTGACAAGCACTAAAGTAAATGTGCAAATATTGACCAGTAACTAAAATACTTGTCACTTTTTGCAT